CTCTGACCCAGCCTGGTGGTGGTTCCCATCCCCAGCCAGGTCTGAGGGTTAGAGGAGTGCACAGGAATTTGAGGAGTGCATTTGGGAATTCCTGCTGCTCCTCCCTGGCCCTGGTCTTCTGGGTCAAGGCAGCAATAAATGCTGTAAGAGATTATAAAAGATGATGCCAACTTTCTTCAAACAGGCCCAGTTCTAGTCTGGAAGTGTCACTCGTCCTGGCTTGCAGCACGAGTGCAATTCTGGAGGCCCACAGAAAATACAGAGACACGATGATGTCCCCACCCTCTCCTCCGTGTCGTGGTGGGAAAAGGGAGAAGTTTGATATAATCTGTCTTTTTGCAGTGGATTGGCACATTGAAATGTCAGTGAGCAGCCTGAACTGGAGCAGTCCCATCCAGGCTTGCAAAAATCTTTTTTAAATCGTTATTTACCTTGACATTGAACCAGGAATTAAAGCCCAGCTATTTGTCTGCTCTCCAGTTTGTCCTCATAGCCCATAATCAGGATATGAGACGGGTTAATAATGCTTCCAGTGCTGATTGTGGGCTACTCAAAAAGTCCATCTCAGGGCACAAACACTTGTGAACTGCTTCACATGGTCTCAGGTCTGCGAGTCCATCCTGTATTTTAGAGCAATTTAAGGTTCTCCTGCAGTGCTGAGACCTGAAATTGCTTGAAAACACACGAGTTCTCAGGAAAAAAAAAACAAAAAAAACAAAAAAAAACCCAAAACACATTTGAGGGAATACCGAGCAGGGCAGGGAAGGAAGAAAGACAGCAATGGGATACTAATACTAGGATAGTGGGGGTTTTTTTTAATTGCCCATTTGTCAAAGTAATATGCATAGAAATGCCCACATGGGGTACACACAGTATGGAAATGTCTGCTTAAGCCTGCAGTGGAACAGCTCATTAGCACATGGTGAGTATCAGTCACTGCAACAAGGGGAGAATAATTGGATATTACAGCTGGAAGAGCACAGGCAAGGTCCTTTTCAAGGGGAAGGAGAGCACCCTAAAGGATCTTGAGCTGATGACAAGGAGCAGAAGAGGGGGACCCCAGTCCCCAGTGATGCTGGGATGGAGAGGCAGATGGGCTGAACCCCTGGGGGTCTCAGTTCAGCTGCACAGACTGCTCATGGGCATTTCCTACACCTCTGTCCTCCCTTTTCCTTTTTGCTGTCTGTTTGAGCTTCCTTTCGTATCACACAAGAAGAGAGGTCAGGAGCTGAGGCCATGGTCAAGCTCAGAGCTGATGTGAGAGTCACCCAGGCTGAGTTTAAATGTATGGGTAAAGGAAAACCCACGACTTTCCCAGACAGCAAAGCAGGTTTGAGTCTTAGGATAATTTTGTTCACTTAAACAGGTGAACTGTATTTTAATTTGGTAATTGGAAGCAGGTCCCCAGTGTCTTTCCTCCTCTATAAGCACAGAAAATATAGTGGAACAGGAGATGCACTTCTAAACTCCAGACATTTCTGACAAGGAATTCCCAATTATCTGATAGATGCTTAATTAATTTGATATAAATTAATATTTATCCTTCAAACAGAGGATCTTTTTTTTTCAAATCTGGCAGTGGCTATAATAATCCTTTAGACATTTTCTGAAGAAAATTTGCCACTGTTGACCCTTTGTTGCAAACCTGAAGCCCAGAGCAGAGGGGCCAAAGGCTGGCTACGGGTCAAAAACCTTTGGAGGGCACTTGGGACAAATGTCTGGCTTATGTGGAGCCTGGATAAGTCAAATGATCTAGTGTGGCTTTTTTGACAGAAATTTGAAATATATTGAAAAATATAAAAAAATGAAATATATTTCTGCGTGAAATTTCCAACATTCTAAGTACTTTTTTTATTATTATTATTTAATTTCCTTGAATCTTTTAGTGAAAAGAGTAAGGTTTGCTTTTGAAAAATGCCAAACAAAACCAACTTTTCAAAGACCCAGTGGGGATAGGTTGGGTCAGGAGCAGCAGTTCTGCTGCAGACAAGCTCGTGGCAGCTGGGTGGATGAAGATCCTGCTGTGCCAGTGAGGAAATTCCACTCTTCCTAAACTGGGGGATATCTCACCTGGGATGAACAGTGTAAGTTTTCCTCCCTTTCCCATGGAACCTGCACAGGGATGGTGCAGGAGGGACAACACATCCTCACATCCTCCCCAGAATAACAACACCTGGTCTTCTCAAAGCCCTCACTTTTATTTTATTTTTTTTGCCTAATCTAGCCCCAAATAAATGCTGCAGCCACAAGGCCTGTGGTGTGCCATCTGCTTTGTAAACAGATCCTTTATTTGTGCTATACCCACCCACCACTGTGGCCAGAGCAGGGTTTCACCAACCTGGCTTTCCTGGCTTGTTTTCCTCTTTCCCTCTGGCTCTTCCCGAGCTTTACAAGCTCTTACAGAATGACCAAAGCACTTAGAAACTTTGTGAGACTCCTCTGGAAGAGGTAAAAGAGCATTATTGTTCTTGGGCTGGCACAATAGTCCTGAGGTTTGTTCTTCCTCCCCCAGAGTGATAGAATTAGTCTTGCATCCCAAAAAACTTACCTTATTTCCTGTTCCAGCCCAACCTGAGAACGCTGGAGGTGGCAGATGCTGCAGCAATCTCAGTATTTCCAGACAAAAAAAGACAGATGGGTCCTCCCAGTGCAGGTGAAGCATGGTCTGCTGTGTGATCTTTGCTGGAGGCAGAATGGCAAAAAATAAATTTTTTTTGGAAAATGTGGTTGAAGCAGATTTTCAGATCAAGATCATGAGCTGTTTGAGCATTTTTGTCTTCTTGTGAAAAGATATAAAACCCCTCACCTCCTATTAAAACATTATTGTCTTTTGGGAGAGAGAAACATTGTGTTTGTCAGCTTTCTTTATCATGGTGTTTATAAATCTAATCCTATCTTTTTCTTCATTAGTATTTTAAAAATTACTTACTGCTACTGAATAACTATTTCCTTCTATTCACTGCCATTTGTTTGCCCAGCTGCAGATAGTCATAGGAGTTCTCTCTGACCTTTCAAATCAGTCTCTGCTCCCCATTCAATCCAGATTTGTCAGAAAAAAACAGTTAATTTGAAAGTCTTGTCTCATGTTCTGTGTGTTTAACTAAATGAATAAACAGATAAACTCCACCCTGTGAGGGGTTTGATTAAACCTTCCACATTTCCTGTCAAAAGTGGCCATCCAGGGATGGGTGAACAGGTTCTTCCAAGGCCCTGATTATATTTATATTTATATTTATATTTATATTTATATTTATATTTATATTTATATTTATATTATTTATATTTATATTTATATTTATATTTATATTTATATTTATATTTATATTTATATTTATATTTATATTTATATTTATATTTATATTTATATTATTTATATTATTTATATTTATATTTATATTTATATTTTTTATATTTACATTATCCCTGTGCTAAAAAGGAGCCTCACTGACAGAGCAGTCTGTGGTTGAATGCATAATTTCTCAATTCCTTTAAAAAACAGCAAAGACACATCTGAAAGGGATGACATCCAGAAGGTCATGATCACAAGTGAAGGAAAATAGTCATGGATCTCCTGCTGAAATGCCTTCAACAAGCTCTGTGCCACCACAAAAATATATGTGGTAAAGAGGGAGCCAAAATTTCCCCCTTTTTCCCACCCAATTCAAATAAAGAGCAAAAAAATTCAGAACCAGAAATTCATATATTCATCCAAAGGTCAAGAGGTAGAAATAAAAGTGTTCCTTCCTAATCATTGAGACTGAAATGTACATTGAAAATGGATTGTAATAAAATTATTAATTTTATATATATATAATATATTATATGTTATATGTTATATATTATATTATATATTATATATTATATATTATATATTATATATTATATATTATATATTATATATTATTATGTATTATGTATTATGTATTATGTATTATGTATTATATATTATATATTATATATATAATGTAAATATAATTGTGATAGGACACTTCTTGCCAGCTCTTCAGAATCTTTTTCAGTGAATAGTAAATTTATAAGAGGAAACTTTTTTCCTGAAGAATGTAATGAAAACAAGAAAGAGTGACAATGCTACAGTCTCTTCCAGATGTGTCACTGGAAATGATAAGTTTTTGGATCGCTTAATTGTTGTTTTCTAATTAGCTCCTTTCCTATTCTCACACTTCAGTGCCCAAAGCACCCAAGAGAACAGAACACCTGCACCTGGCTCACCCCTGGCATTATTCCCATGCTGAAATTCCTGGGTATGGATGAAAGGAACTGTGCAGCTCTGGAAGTGCCCAGGCTCCAGCTCTGCCTCTCCTCTTTGTTCTGACAATCCCATTGTGGTGCAGCTGGAGCTCTGGGCACTCTGCTCTCCAGCACATTGTGTGGCTCTGTCTGCACAAATCCCATGTGCTCCAAACACGAGGGGCAAAATTACGGTTGCAGGCTTTGTGGGGACGTGGAATGTGATCCATGAAAGCCTGATCAAGGATCCTCGAGGAGAGATGAGGGAGGATTTTGTATATGATAGGCTTTTTTGGTGGTGGTGTTTGATTTTGTGAATTGTTCCAAATCTGTGAAGGAAGGAGGCTGTAACGTGGCCAAATCCTACTGGATTCAGTGTCTGACATCCACAGGGACTTCTGGAGCAAGACAGAAGAAATGCTGGAGCTGATGCAGGTGTGTCAGTCAGGAAATACAGATAGCTGCATGTTAATACATAAAAAAGGCACAGCAGAAGCTTCACTTCCTTTCTGGCCTGAGGGGGGAGGAAAAAAGTTCAGCAGGGATTACACGGGTCACTTCACACAGTCCATCAAACTTTCAGAGCAACTCCCTCTGAAACCCAAAACCCCCTGGGTTTGTTCAGTGTGGACAGCCCTCAGAGCCCATGCAGTGGGACAGTTCTCACTTCCCCTTCTGCAGAAAAACAACAACACCACCCAGCACAGCTTCACTGCATTTGGTGAATTTTAGTCCCTCCCAACCCTGGCTGGAGCAGCCAGGCTCACTGTGTGCTCCTCAGCCCACCCCGAGCCCTGGCCCTGTGCAGACAGGAAAAGGAGGCTCACAGGTGAGTTTATCACCCCCTGAAAGGAGGTTTCAGTCAGGTGGGGTCAGTCTCTTTCTCCAGGCAGCACTGACAGAATGAGAGGACACAGCCTGAAGCTGTGCCATGGAAATACAGGTTGGATGCCAGGAAAAAGCTTTTTTCCTAAAAAAAAAGGGTGATAAAGACCTGGGATGTTCTGCCTGGGGAGGTGGTGGAGTCCCCATCCCTGGGTGTGTTAAAAAAACACTGGATGTGGCAGTGGTCTGGTTGAGGTGTTAGGGCATGGGGTGGACTCGATGATCCTGCAGTTCTCTTCCAACCCAGTGATTCTGTTCTGCTCTCGACTCAGCTGCAGCTTCCCCTCCACTCCCCACCTCTGCACTCAGGTCTGGCCACGCTTTGATTCCTGCTAAACTGTCAGAAATGTCCAGAAATGGCACCTCTGGATCTGAGGGCAGTCTCTGGAGCTGCAGGACCAGGATTTAACCTTCACCAGGAGATTCCTCTGAGAGCATCCCCTGCTCTCAGCCCTGCTGAGGGGAAGGAGGAGCTCAGCACTCCTGGGACAGGGAAGGATTCAGGGAGAAATCTCCCACCAGTCCCTGTGGAGGGGGATGCAAGTTCAGCCTCCACCCTTGCAGGGAATCCAGCAGGGTGATGCCAAAATGTGCAGTCTCAGGATGTAAAAATGACCACTTCACACCAATGCTGGAAGCCAAAGTCCTCAAAGTCCTCACACCTGCCTAAAAATCTTTTTGGTTTTTGTTTTTTCTTTTGGTAGGTGAATCTTGGTCTCCTTGAGAGCACAAATTCTGGTTATGGTGTCTCCATTCAAAAATTCTCCCTCCTTATTTCCCTCCTTTCCTTCCCTTCAATGATTTATGTAAAAAGACAGAAAATATCAGCTGAGTCCCCTCTGTTGTTTCTTCGCTTTTTTGTCCCATCAATTTAAATTGTCTTGAGCAATGCCTCCTGTGAATGATTATTTTTCAGCCTATTTTACCTCATTAGGAAGCTTTTTTTCCTTTGACAAACATCCCAACCCCTCCATTTCTTATTTCCACCCCATTATGTCCACTTATCCCCTTACACAAACACTTCTTTGTTCCCCAACTGCATCTCAAATACCCATGATTCAGATACCAGTTTCATACAGAATATGACATATTCAATTCGCTCTTTTCTTGTTTTTCCCCTTCTTCTGTAAAAAAACTTTTTAACCCCTTGACTCTGGTTGCATTACAGGAATAAGGGGATATAAAAATGTCCTCATCTCTAACCAAGCAAAAGGCCTGCAGCAGCAACTGCAAGCAGAAGCAAGGTGAAAATAAGAACTCCTGGAGTGTGCAGTCACATGAATTTTGTGAGTAATTTACTTGGAAACTACTTGCAGACTGGTTTAATTCAGTTACTGATTTATTCAAGTGAGCAGCAATTTCTGAGAGCTGCAGCATTGTTACTCTGTCAAATTTCACACACAAGAGCATTTGCATGAGAAAAGGAAAATAGGTTTCCTCACCTCTGCTGCTGGCACAAATTCAATCAACAAACCCCAGCATTCCCTACATAAAACAAGGAAGTTTTCATCAGCTGATCTGTCCACACAGCTTTCAGCCTGGGCTCCCTCAAACACTTTTTGTTTGTGTCTCAGCTTCTCACTCACCTGTGACAGAAGGCATCACTAAAACTTCTCAAAGTGGCAGCTTTGATTCCAAAGTGGCACATGAGACCAAAATATCGACTTGTAAACCAAATTCACAACCCAGAATTTATAAACCAGGTGCTAAGCCTGAATGATTGTGGTCTGTAAGTGCATTGTCAAAAGGGTGATTCCCATTATTTTATCACTCTAATTTATAGATCTGATCTCAGTTCTGAACTCTTTAAATCTGCCCTTTCAAAATTAACTGTTTTAGAAAACAGGTTTTAAAAAACTGGTTTAGATAAACATGTTTTAGCAAAAGACCTCCAGAAAAATTGTCATACACTTTCTGTCACTTGAAGTAAACTATAAAGAAACCTTTTCATCTGTTCTGATGTTATTATTTAGTGTGTTGGCTCATCACTAATTATTTCCTTAGCATTAATCAAGATTATTCTTCATTTTCTTTAAAATAGCTCACCCAAACCTTAGGAGCAGTGAGCTTCTCTTCAGAGTTGCTTTTGGAAAGAATGAAAGCACTTGACACTTTGGAACTTTGACTCATTCAAAGGTTTGGTACAACACAATTTCACATTGATTCTTTTTTTCCCCCTCAAAAAAGCAAACTGACACTGATGTCACCTGTAATAACTCATCAGTTGACTTAAGACACAGTGTCCTCGAATTTGTAAATATTTTCAGCTGTGTCAGACAAGTGGCTTTTAGAGCAAGTGGAAAACACCCAGTGCTGCCCATCAGCGAGGTCCTGTCAGGGTAAAACACAGACAGGGGAGAAAGGAGACCTGATACCCTGTCCTTATGATTCAGGAGCTTGAGGGAGCTCAAAACACTTCATCTTCAAAACATCACCTGTCTCCCTACAGCTTTCCTGGCTTCTGAAAACCCTTTTACAGTCTGTCAGCTTCCCAGTCAGCAGAGCCAACACCACAATTAAGAAATTTAAGGGAAAAAAAATATTTTAAGCTTTTTTTTGTTTTGTTTTTTGGTGGGTTTTGGTTGTTTGTTTTTTTTTTTCCAGGGGTCTTTTCTTCTGTGGTTGCATGTGTCTTTAGCAAGGACAGCTCTGGATGCTGGGTGGACCCTGCTTGGATTAATGACAGATGGAGCAGCTGAGGTTGCAGTGATGAAGCACATCCACACTCTCCTCCTTCCCTCCCTCCCAGCTTCACCCTCCTCTGTAAATCAAGCAAGAGACAAACCAGATCCCCTCTGCCTTTTGTTATCAGTGCCGTGGATAATCCCCCCCTGGTAACAATCCATGTGGCCAATAATCAATCCAAGGGAGGGGATTAGCAGCAGTGAGAAAATGCACCGTGACCAAACACTTCTCCTTGCACCCTTGCTGCTGCTCAGAAAATCGTCGGGACAAGCACCTTCTCAGGCTAATTGCTGACAAATGTGAGATAAACAGCCTGCTATCACAACCAGCTCCCCTCCCTCTTTAAGGGAAGGGGTACAATTAAAGCCTTCAGCATTACACAGATCGTGACATCCGTTTATTGTTCTTGCTCCGCACAAATGGAGCTTTATCTCGTTTCATACACCAGATGCTATTACGAAACACTCACATTTGGGGAAGAGAGGCAGGCCTGGGAAATTCTGGGCCAAGAAGTTGCAGGAAGGGAAAGAAATGCCTCGATTCATCTGCAGGCTGGCAGGTTCTGTGGCAGAAGGTGTGGGACGAGTCCGGGTTGCTGGGCTTGGAGACACAACAACCCAAAGAACAAATACCCCTGTATTTCTCTCCATAAATTGCTGGAAGAGCTGTGCTGTGCTTGGAAATAAAACATGTGAGGAGAGAGAAAAAACCGTATTGAGTGCAACCAGAAGCTCGCTCAGACTCTCATCAGAGAATTTTTCTTCAGTGGGCATTGCCCATTGTGGTAAGAGGTGAATTCTCCAAGTTAGTAAGGATGAGTCAAAGGTGAAATCCTGATGTAAACTGTTTGAACAAAGACCAGGGATATTCTCCCTGCCATCCAGCTGCTCCTGTGGCTGGCAGCCCTGGATTTGTCACTGTTTATTGTGCACTGAGAGGGTCTCAGCCCTTGGCCAAGCTCCCCTCAGCAGCCCTGGGCTGTGCAGAAACCCCTCCAGTGCCAGGATATCTCACAGATGGACCAGAACTCCAACCTTTAAGGTTCCTCCCTGCCCAAAGCTTTCTGTGATTCTGTGTCTCCTGTGGACAAGCCACCAGGCTGTGAAGAAGAGTGAAAAGTGGGATTCACCACTTCTTGGCTATGCTAGCAACAATTAAACCAAGCAGTTAATTCTTGCATCTCTGAACTACTCCATCAGGAATTATACCCTTATTTCACACAGCCTGACTCATCATTGCACTTAATTTCATGTGTTACTAATCATTTCATGTACTACTAATCTAAATTACTAATTTAGAAACCTGGTACCTCTAATTTCCTTCTATTTCCATAATTTCCGCTTTGTGATAGCAAGAAGAAAAGTGGATAAATATTATTGAGCAGACCCATGACAAAGGAAACAGAAACCTTGTAATGCCTTTTGCAGACTTCATGTTCTGCCTCCTGCCTTGCCTCCTCCACTCCCAGCACAGAGGAGCCCTCAGCAAAGCAGATGGGTTCATCATTTCTAAGTCTGGCAACCCATTTCCATCCCTTCTACATCAGTTTATTAAAATAATGCAACATATTTAGTATCTGAGTGTACTTTTTAATGTGCATATGCTCTGCTCATGCACCAAAAAATGCTGCCTTGTATCTGTACTTTACACCAACCCAGCAGGCTTATGTTTGCTAAGAGAAGGGCATTTAAAATTTAACCCTCGTTTGACTTCAGATGGGGATAAATCTCCTGTTTTATAGCAACACTTGGAATACCCTTACAGTAAATTCTTACAACTAAAACCCTTATGATGCTGTGACTGATGGAGCTCAGAGCACAGACTCCCAAAATCAATTAAAAACACTTCTGAGGGGGTCGTAGGCAAAGAGGAGGTGTCCCCAAGAGATGCTTTAAGGTTCCCATGCACTCTGAACACAACCATGATGCAGGGCTCACGATGGAAGATCCCACATGTGTCTCATGCCGCCCTTGTATCCAGTCAGGTCATGTATTTTCTATTGATCAACCTCAAAAACATGGTAGAAAGTCAGAGAGGTCTCTGGGAGGGACTTTTCTGCCTGTTCCAGTCAGAAGTCTTGCGATGAACAGTTCGGTTCTACTTAATTCCCCTTCTCAAAGTGACTCTGGCATGACTGATGGGAGAAAAACGGAGATTTTAGTAAAAACATCATCTTGCCCCATCCCTAGCAGTGTCCAAGGCTGGTTTAGTGTAAGGTGTCCATGCCCAAGGCAGGGCTGGAATGGGATGAGTTTTAATGTTTCTCCCAACCTAAACCTTTCCATGCCTGTGATCTTCTCTAGGAAGAGGCAGACCATTAAAACACCTCTGTGTCTTCCAGCTGTCTGTGATTCCCTGGAGAATATTGTCTCTGGTTTGCCTTAAACACTCAGAGTGAAGACAAATCCACCATCTCTTGGGTAGTTGTTTCACATGTTTCAGTTGATTCAGTGAATTTTTTCTTTTGACTACCCCAAGATATGCTCAGGCCCTGTTTGAGGACAAGCCTAATTATGCTTTAGGGTTTTGCACAGCATCTATATTGCTCAGGGAATTTGCTTTTTTGGGGAATTACATCAAGCTTCACATCTCAGAGCACCAAGCACTCACTGGAGTTGACCAGGAATTAACCTACAGGCAGGTGGTTTGAACTCCTAATGGATTTTTCCTTCCTTTTCGAGCAGTGTGAACATCTGTCATGGTGGGAGTTGTCATCCCTCTCATCTCCTGGGCTCCTTTCCATGCACAAATTTCCTACAGCACCAGAGTTTTTCCTCCTGTTCAGGAGGAACTTTGGTGCCATGAGGTGCAGGGGGCCGTGGTAGCAGAACACAGCTGGACACCTGCAGATGTGGATCAAACCTGCAGCAAAACACTCCACTTTTATAAATGCAAATGGTTTTAAAGCTTTAACTTCTCGAGAGCCTTTCCCTATTCGCCTCAGCAGGTGCCACAGGATTATACACACCCTGAATTTAAAATCTCTCAGATCAGTGGGGTCATTTTTCTTCCACCGTTGTTTGCAACAGGGATTTTCATACCCATTCATGGATCATCTGACCCTGCCAATGCCAGACAGGAGCTGCTGTGCTGGAAAAGGCCTTATCTCACCCAGAAACAGCTCCATCTCTGTGGGCACAGCCAGCAGTGATTATCCTGGTGCTCACAGATCACTCTGTATTTGGCAGGTGGGGTTCCTTCCTGCGGGCTGATCTCCCAGCAAAGAGTGGCTTGTGGTGATTAATGCTGTGGGATGATATTATGGATTAGGATTTGTCCTTCCTTCCCCCTCACCCTTGTCCAAGGCTTTCCTAAATGACAATCCCTCACCTGTTCGTGCTCAGGGCAAGAATCAGACTTGTGCTGATGTCCCTTGCCTGGGACCCAAAATTTAAGAAATTGTATTTAAGGGATAAGTGGTTTAATTAACGCTGCAAACTCCTTGGATGATGCTGTTTTCAATGTAAGGATAAAATTTCTTCCAGCTTTCAATTTTTTTTAGACAAAGACAATACTCCTCTTTGCACCTCCTGCTGCCAGCCTGTAGTTCCAGCTGTCCCAGACCATCCTGCTTTCTCATGTGCCATGTTCTTCATAAAACAGGCAGAGATGTCCCTCCACACATGTCTTTCTTTGGGAAAGAATGAAAAAAAAAGGGTCATTTGCTTCTTTAGGGGCAAAGGCTTTGGAAGCAAAATAATCTGAGCCAAGCTTTAGAAGGTTATTAAAAAAAAAAAAATATATAAAATAAAACAAACAAACAATCAAGCCAAGCTTGCTGCAGATGGCTGGGAGCAGCACCTCATTTTTCATTATGGGGGGTGGCTGGTGACTTTATTTTTCTTGGCCCTGAGAAAGACCAAGCATTCCTTGAGCCATGTAAATATCCAGCTACGCCTCACTCAGTGCAGGATGAGCACACACATCAGTGGCTTTTCATCAGACACATGCTGCCTGCTCTGGGGCCGGGCTCTCAGGGGGGTGGGCAGAGGAAGGGCCAGCAAAGTTCATGGGAACGTCTCCAGTCCCCTCCATTCCCAAAGCAGCCCCTGCAAAACCTTGTCAGCAAGGTATCTGTGATGCTTCCAGGGCAGAAACCTCGGGGGGGGGACCTGGGGAGCTGCGGTCTCGTGGGACACCTGGCCACCAAAGGTGGCCACTTCAAAGAGAGGTGTCCACTCCTCCGGGCCACCCATGGAGAAAGCTTATCCCCAGCTCTTGCTGGCCAGGGATGGGTCCAAGGTTTTGGGAATTCTCTCTGGGGGGGACACAAGGCCATTCACCTCGGTGGTGTCAGAGGAACCACCACGGGGAGGGCGGGATGTGGCTTTAAATGATGATCTGGTGGAGCGGCTGCACATCGGGCATTGGAAACACATGTTGCACCAGAGAGCTGTCATTGTTAAGTGATATCACAGCTGGCCAGGAGGAATTCTCCTCTGGTGGGCAGAAATGCCTCTCCTGACTGGTTTTGTGGATGCATTCCTCCTCCCCGTTGTTCATTGTCTGAGCCGAATGAAGCTGCCTCTCCAGCCTGTGCTGCCTCTTCCTTGTACCAAACACATAAAACAAATGAAGGAAACAAAATTAGCAGCACCAGACTCTTCCCTGATACTTTGAATATAGAAAAAGATGTTATTTTTGAATGGAGTGAAAACATTTTATCTGGTAATTCCAAGCTAATGGTCGCTTTTCTTGAAAAGAAGCATCTGGATCCACTAGGCACCTCTGCAAAAACCAGCCTCAGTCTAAACGTGGCTGTAAAAATCAGATTTGAGCGCTTGGCAGCCCTTTCTTCCTGGAATCCCAAGAAAAATCTTATCTGAGTATGAGGGCAGGAGTCACAAGGCAGTAACAGAGCAACTGACTGAACATTTACAGCTAAATTTTGCAAAGTAGGGAAACTTCAATATTCTCCTCAACAACTTTCAGGATCCGTATCAAAATATCTCCCTAACATTTTTATTTTTATTTTTTTTCCTAAGCATTAGAAAGTTTAGCCCAACAAAGCAGCTGTTTTGCAATGGGTTCTCTTTTTAGTCTCTTGGCTTTGTGTTCAGGAAGATGTGAAACAAAGACAGCTTTTAGTGTGGATGAGAGCACAGGAGATCCTAATTACACCTGGGGAAAAACAATTCTTGTCTTTCCATGAACAGCTTTTTTTAAAAGAGGAAGAAGACATGCTTAGGTTGAAAAGACAGGTCTCCAGGCATTTTCTGTTTTTTAAAGATCACTCCAAAAACTTTACATTTTGAGACAAGACACCTCTTTCATTTAGCTCAGATCTTTTCATCTTCTGAACTTATACAATTAGGAAAAAAAAAAAAAAGAGTAAAAAACCAAGACAAAACAGAAAAAAAACCCCCAAAGGCTTTATTTTTAAAGGACAATATGCTTTGAAACTTTTAAAAAATTTGCTTAATGTATTTCAAAGTTTAAGAAAACATTCCTTTTCTTAGCTAATTTATCAGCTGGATTTGCCTGCAAGTCCATCCCGTGAAAACCAGCTTTTGGCACTTGTATGATGACATGGTTCTATTCCCACGAGTAGAAGAACCAGAGATTCCCCAACAGAACTCTAAACTATGACTAAGCTTGGTGATTAATTAACAGCATTCACATTAATTGATCCAGAGCCTCCTTGATGCTACTGTGGGAGGAGGGCACAGAGCTGATGTCCTGATGGGACACTTGTGGTTGGGTTCTTTTCCCCCTTGGACTGGGATTGATGAGAGAGAGGCAGTTTTCTCCTGTTCAGACTTGGCTGTTTATTCTCCTTTTATCTGCATTTCATGGGCACAGGGTACAAGGAGCTGAGTGCACTAAGATAGAAAAGGTGCAAAATGGCCAACAAAGATCTTCTGCAAGGTCTTTTATATCTCCATTTACCCAATTATGAACAGATTCCAGGTCATTTATTCTTCTTAGTGACCCAATGATCCTTCACCTTTGAGCTGCACTGCAGCATTCTCTGCCCAATCACTCACTGCCACCCAAAAACCTGGAGAAGAAGATGAAGAAGGAAGAAGAAGGACGAAGGAAGAAGAAGGACAAGAGACAACTCCCCAATTCCTCCATCTTGCCTCTTATTTCTTAAACAAATTTAAACCTTTAACTTTCTCACCCAGTGACTTAAGAAAACTCTCTAATTTACACACTTACATTTTCAGTTTTCTCTACTTAACTCTAACAGTTGCTAAACATGGTGCTATGTAAAACTGGGTGCTTTCTTGGGGGTCAGAGTTAGGCATCACAGATAAAGGTATATATCTTGCATCTCTGACCCCAACATGCTGAATCACAAACAACCCCTTTTTTATCTCACTTTTTCATTTCACTCCACCTCTGTATCAGCAGCTGGACATCTCCTCTCCAGAACTGGGTGGGTGAAACGAGAACTTTTTACCAAAACTGGCCGAGGCAAAGCCAGCTGAGCAGGGAAGGCAAGAGCCAGGCACACGAGCAAAGCCAGACAAGGAATTCTTTCCCTGCCTCCCCTCCAGCACCTCCCGGAGGGCAGGGCCCCCTCACCTGTGCCTTGGGGAGACAAACACCAGCCCTGCCCTCATCCCCTTCCTCCCCGCTCCCCTTCCCACTCCCAGACCGTGTGATCAGTAATTAGCAATGGGTAATTAGTGCCGAACGCTGTGGATCAGGGCTGTGCTCCGTTCCGGTGGCCTGTCCTGGCTGTGTCCCCCCGAGCTCCCCCAGCCCCTCCCGGCACGGCCACACCGGGGGCAGGAGAAGGCTCTGGGTGAGCTCAGCAATAACAAAAACGTCCAGAACTTACACTCACAGGTAGTGAAAACTGGTATTTTTCCTCTAAATGAGTAGACATAACAATTCCCCAGCATGGTGGACAGGAAAGGAAAATAACGCAGGTGTGTATCCTTGTTCCTCAAGATCACAGTGATGTTGGACCTTCCACTGAGAGGTTTGCAGTCGTGCCCCAGAAGTTCCTCTGTTAATAATTAGATTTCAGGATGCCCCCTGATCTGGATTCAGCAGTGTTTGAAAGGAAAGGTCTCACAATCAAGGCAGGGCACAGCCCAAGAACTTCTGTTATTAACACCTTTTTTGTCTTTTCCTACAGTAACTCCTCTTGTCTGCCCAAAGAGCCAAACAAATCATATTTTAAAGAGGATGGATATTGGGATGACAGGAGGAAAATCTCACCTAAGGGACAGAGAAAAGGACACAGACCATAACCAGGAGCAGGAATCAAGGGGGAGGTGAAATTACTGTAATGGCACCAAGAGCAGGAGTCATGTAACAACACTGACAACATATCATCAATAGTAATAAAATAAAAATTAGTGCTGCATCCTCACTTCCCTTTTCCCCACAATATAACTCTTCTTCTGGCTGAGTTGTTTCATTAGTAATCAGGAGAATGGTGAGAACTTAAACAAACCTGTTTGGTGAGAAAAGTCCCTTGAAAAATACTAAAAACAAAGCAAATTCTCAAAACAGAGACAAAAAGAGAGAGGAGAAGAAGAATAAAAGTCAACTGAGAAGTCTCCAAGGGGAAAAAAAAAAGAAAAAAAAAAAGAAAAAAAAAAAGGAAGACTTAATTATGCACTAGTTTCTTTTCCTAGCATGTTTCTTGACTTGGCACAGCTGGAAAATAGAAAGCTTGCTGCCAAAATATCAAATGTCGCTGGTGTGGGCTCAGTGCTCGTAAAGTTATGTGTGTGTCTTTCTCCCCCTCCTCGTCTGATTGCACAGAAAGATGAAATGAGGGGCTCAGTGAGATAAACACTGGCAGCTGTCTGGAAGCTGGCTGCAGTGGGCAGGGTCCCTTGCAAGGAGCCACAAGGGGCTTTTTCAGCTTTTTCTTTTGGCGGGGGAAAGAGCGATTTGTGAAACCGGGTCTGTGCAGAGGACACTGCTGTCGAGTCCCCAGGTCCACTTGCCATTTCTCGGTGATGAATTGCCACGCTGTGGACATGCTGCTGCTGAGGGATGTGCCACAGAGCTAAAAGCTGTTTTGTTTCGTGAAGGAGTGGGCTTCTCTTTGCAGCTTGCAAACAATGAGCTTTCTGTACAGGCAGTCCTAGGACAGGACTGTAAAAGGATATGAAGTTTAGCACAGAAATAGGCCCCAAGCTCTGTAGGGCAATTCACCCATGGAAATGCTGACCTCGTCCATTCAGATATTACACAGAATTTATATATCTAAATCGGGATTACATACCATTTCTGAAAGAAGATGGAGTTCTATGCATGATAGATTTTCCAGATTTCTAGTCACTGGGACCAGGAACAGCATTTTTCTGCCCAATTAGTCTATATTTCTTCAAAGAGATCTTCCCCAGATCTCATTTCATATGCCTTACAATCTTTTGTGACTTCACTTCCTTTTTCACCACTTTACAGCAGGGAATATTCCAGACTGTTACAGCTAAAAATAAAAACAAGAAATATTCTGATTTATCTTGAGACTTGCAAGGATGGTGATATATCCTTGTGACACTATGACAGATATAAAAATACAATTTCTGTCTGGTAACAACTAGCTTAGCCCTGACCATATCACTATGGGTTTTTTAAGGTGATGGAATGGTGCAGGGATTTGCAAAATGGACGTAGGGAGTGCTTTTTGTCAGGCAGGTTTCAGGATGGGACGGAATAGAAATAGAAAAAAAGAGAAATGGAAATGGAAATGGAAATGGAAATGGAAATGGAAATGGAAATGGAAATGGAAATGGAAATGGAAATGGAAATAGGATGGGGTNCCTCCCTCCCTCTGCTGACACTTTTAAAGCCTTTGGTTCCCACTGGCTTGATGAGTTGCACCATTGGTAAACATTCTAAACCATAGGAAAGGCTGGTCAAAGTGCTTTTCCCCGCAATTAACAACTCCTTTGGTAATTACATTTGTTCTTGAAGTTCTTTGCAGAAGGCTTTCCCACCATTATTTGTGACTCCTCTTTATCCTCTATCATGTGATTGTTTTATTGCAGGAACGTGGGCTTACCCCATTATGCATGGCACCTCCCACCAACACTTGGCTTGGGATGATTATTTTGCTCATATTTTCCTTTCATGTTTCTCAGCCATCCCTGGCTTTTTTCCACTTGAGCTCTGGGAACAATGATGGAACTGAAATGTGCAGAAGCAGACTGAAATAGGCAGTCTGCTGACAGAATAAGATGTGATTAAAAAACAGTTTCAAGAGTTTCAATAACCCATTCTTCTAGAACTTCACAATACCACAAATGGGACACAGCACAAACGGTCTGAAGGAGATGAGTCAAAGGATCAGCTGGATTGCTTTTGGAACCCTGCAAATGGATCAGTGCCTCACCTGTTTACATTCTGCATGGACCAAACACTTTGAAATGTGGAGTTTGCCAGTTCTTCATTGCCTCTCAAAGAAATCCCCGAGGAATTCCATGTGCAGGCATAGATAGGATACAGTGAATGTGCTTTAACTGGTGGGTGTGCTGCCCTTGGGTTATAACTGAGACAACATTTGCAGAGAAGAGCCAATAAAATAGCTGGGGTAGCCAGTTAACTTACACAACCAAGATCTTTCCCCCTTTTTTCTCACTGAAACAGCTAATATTAACTTTTCACATAAACCTGCTGCAGATGTAAATTCATCTCGGGCAACAAAAGATCTTGCCAGGAGAAGAGAGGGACAGGCTGGGTTAACATGATTTATTTGTATTTCCTATTGGGAAAAGCTCGTTCAGGTGGAAACTGCCACATTAAACCCATAAATGCAGCAGAGTCATTCTGCTGCCCCTGAAATGTCAGGAGGCACTTTTGAAAGGAAAATAGATAAATACTCTGTTTCTGTCACTTTTTTTCCCCCTCCACTTTCAGAAGCCCCTCATCTCCAGCATAAAAGAAACACAGCATATTCCCACCTGTGACTTTTCTCATTCAGCAGAATTATCCAGGCTTAAAACATGGATAATTCTGAAATTAATTATATTAATTAATAAAAAAGCCCATGCTGAAAACCACTGGGCTTGGGAGTTTCCTACTGTGAAGGTGTTTCCAAAAGAGGAGATAAAAGATGCAGGGAGTTCCAGTCTGAGGCTATTAATAAATGCATAAATAAATAAATTAGATGAAAACCAAAACACCACAAACAAACAATAAGCAGCAGGGAGGGGAGGTGTCCAACACTAAATGAAGTTGAGTTCTCACCTCGGGTAAGCCCTGCAGCAAGGAAATCAACAAAAACTCACCCATTTCACCAGAAGTGTCCCCCAGTCCTGAGTTCAAGACTTAAATGCTTAAAATTTAAGAAATGGAATCACTACAAAACCAGTGAAATGTTAGAAATTTAGGCAGGATTTCTTCTGATTTTTTATATGTAACATTTTGAGAAGCAGAGGTCCTTCCAGGCACAGTCCTAAAGCACTGCAGAAATAACTAAGAATTAAAAGATGCTACAGTTTGCTTATGGCAATGGTTGATTTTATGGTTGATTTTTCTGCCCAGGGACAACAATACACCAAAAAAGCCAGACCTTAGGGATAATATTTCCCAGTATTTGTGGCAATATGTGTGGAAGGGCAGGTTTGTATTTGCTTTTTTCTTAATGAAAAAAATTAAAATAATTTATTTTTTTTGCAGCAGAACTTACCCTTCTGCTGCAAAGCATTGGCCTTTTGAAATTTTTTTCACATTTCTGCTGAAACTTAAATTATAAATTGTGATTCAGTATTAAAAATTACATTCTAATCCCTTTTAATTTCCACACATTATGGCAAAAATTATCAATGCTCCCTTGCAGTAGGTCACTATAAATGAAACTTAACTTTTTATTAGGAATAAAAATTATTTTGAACTCTGAAAACAGTATTGTTTTCATGAAAGAGCATTTTTTTATTGAAGAGCGCAGGCCAGGTGCCTCCAGCACACTAAGGATTTTATTTTTTTTTTATTAACACTAACCTCTTTTTAACACTGAAAGTGCGCCTTGTGAAGATTAAATCTGAATTTTTCTCCAAGATAATTGCATTTCTGCTCCTCTCTGATGCCACCACGGTGAGATCTGGGGCACTGCTGTGGTGTTAAGCAGAAAAGGAGCAAATTGTGTTGGTATTGACCAAGTGGTGGGTGGAAAAGTTTCCAGTTCATTCTTGCCCAAATCACTCCCCTGTTGGTTCCCAGCAGTTTTTCGGAGTGTACCCAGGGTGCAGAGCATCCCCAGGCAGGTTTTTTGGGTGATTTAACCCAAAAAAAGGCTCCACCTGGAGCATGAGGTCTCCGTGCTCTTCCCTCCGCCCTGAGGAGCCCCAGCGAGCTCCAAGCAAGGACAAGCACTACAAATCCACCCAAAAAAAACCCTTCAGGCACAGTTTCCCCCTCAGCAATCCCCCTCTGTGACATCTCATCAGGGATTAGACCTTGCTGTGGGGTTCCCTTCTCTGTGTATTTCACCAAGAGCGAGTAATCCCATATTTTATTTTATTTCTTTTTTTCCCCTAACGTCAACACCGTCACTTTCCAGAGCAGCTCCTGAATCAATCAACATTTCAGCAGTGCTGGGGGACAGGAAAACTCAGCTGCTCTGGCCTGGCTCTGAATTAACTCCTGCCCTCAGAGGCTCTGCTCCCCACCAGGGAATCGCCCTTATGGAACAGGGGCGACTTTTAAAAACTTTTAAAATATTTGTACAGGATTAGATTCCGTCCGCCCCGCGTGCCACCGAGTCACGGAGCTCGTGATGGCTTCTGAGAACAAGGATCAAACTCACAATTAAACAGCAGGAACATCACCCCCTCTTTCCTGCATGGAAAAGTACAGAAACAGGAATGGGCTGTGGAACGTGGATGTTGTGTAATTTTTAAGGGATGGGATTGAAAGGCCCCCAGAATCACTCCAAGATTATTTTTTGCTTCAGACACATCAAACACATAATCTTGACTTCGTTCATGGAGAAATTAGGCTCCCTATAGGAAGATGGGTTACTGAGAGTGCAATTCACATGTACAGTGACTACGGCCCAGCAGAGTTACTCACCACAACCTCATTCACACTTTTATTCCCTCCTACACTCACATTGTTCCCACACCTCCTTCCTGCAAGAGGAAGAATTTGGGATCAACGTTCTAAAAGTGCAAAAGCTGGGATTTAACAAAACCTCTGTAAGCACTTAACTGGACAATATTTGGAAAACTAACCTGAAGGAACAAAAGTCAAAAAAGAAGTTCAAAATGTCAAACGTGGGTGTAAAAGGCAGGTAACATCATTTATATTGCATTGCTATACATCATATATATGCCATATAAATTATATACTATGATATATATATATATGATGTATTTTATGCTGAATATTACCTACTACTCTGTATAAAATTGTACATTACAAATTACATGTAAAAGAAAATTAATATAGAAATATGACAGCTATAAATATTGCACATGCTATAGAAATTCATAATATTATGCTGTAATATTAGTTATATATTACTAATTAATATGTAATAATAAGAAAAAGGCAATATATAATATAAAAACACATCTATTGCATTGTAATAAATGGAATCCTATTTATGACACTGTATATCATACATTATGCAATATCATTATGTATCATGTATATTTTATATTTTATATTTATATATTATAATAAGTTATGTATTACTTATTTTGTGTTTTGCAGGATACATTATGTATTATATAAGTTATATAATATATAAGAGATCTATATTACTGCTATATAATGCTATGGTTTATTATACTTAACATATAATGCATAATAAATAATATATAATTTATGATAATGGGCTTGTTTAATATAGCACTGATATATATATAATACAATTCTCAAATTATAAATTATAATAAAGAAATTCTCTAATGGGCCAAGGAACAGGTGGTGTGTTAAAAACAGTCTAAGCTGCAACTCAGCAGCACAAGGAATGAAGTGAAACCTCACAAAGATGCTCATTCCACAATGAAATGTTTTGCTGAAACTTGTTATTTACAAGGAATAATGCCCTTAAATTTGAGTGTGGGGCTCTGCAGAAGGATTTCAGAACGGCTGGACAGTAACACAGGGAAGCACCACCACGTACCCTGTAAAAATCTCACAATTAGCTGTGTTCATACAGGATTTCAGGACGAGATGGTAGGGATCCCTGAAGAGCCAGGAGGCAGCTGGCCTGCAAAAACCCTCCCTGGTGCTCCACGGAGCCGTGCAGGACGGGAAATGAAGGCACTCTGATCATGTTCAGCTCCTAAATTCATCCTCAGCCAGGTCTGAGTGAGTGGGGGTCCCGCTCTTGGCCCTCGAGGCTGGCTTCAGACAATCACCGAGTTATTTCAGGCTGGAGAGGCCTTTGAGATCATCAGGCCCAACCACTCCTCCAGCACTGACCTGTGTCCCAGGTGCCACATCCACACACTTTCTGAGCTCTTCCAGGGACAGGGATTCCATCACTTCCTCAGGCAGCCCATTTCAATGGTTCACAGCCCTTTTATCCCCTCCTGCTGTCCCCCCTGAGCTCCCCTGGCCCAGCCTGAGGCCGTTCCCTCTCCTCCTGTCCCTGCTCCTGGGAGCAGAGCCCAGACCCCCCCCGGCTGTCCCCTCCTGGCAGGGACTTGTGCAGAGCCAGAAATTCCCCCTGAACCTCCTTTTCTCCAGGCTGAGCCCCTTTCCCAGCTCTCTCAGGAATTCTCCAGCCCCTTCCCAGCTCCGTTCCCTGCCCTGGGCACACTCCAGCCCCTCAAAGGCCATGAGGGATCCCTCCACCACCTCCAACCTGAGTGTGTGCTCTCCGTTTTCCACCAGCTGTTGCACTCTCACTCCCACCCCCAGCACCTCGTGGGGCACACACAGCAGGCAGCTGCTGGGAGGAAGCAAATTTTACAGGGAAAAGTGGAACTTTCTTGATGCTTTTGATCTCCGCTCCTCAAGAAAGCCTCCTTCACTGTGCTCCAGCCATCCCTCTGAGGGCACGGCTCAGCTCAGGATGTAAAAAGCTGTAAAAGTAAAAAATGTGGTGTAAAAAGCCTTGCTGTGCTGCCCTGAGAAATCAGCAGCAGAGCACACCCACTCCCCAAAAAACCGATATCAAACCTGCTCCAGATTCCCTGGCAGGAGGTCAGGAGAAGGCAGAGAGCTTCAGAAAACCCCCTCCAGGATGTTTGTTCAGTCAGGCCACAATCCGAAGGTGATAAGGGAGGTTTTGTTTGGCTGGTGCTCACCTGTTTATCCTGGGAACTCAGGGTTTGTTCCACTCGCAAAGAAAAGTCTTGAGAAAGAAGCTAAAACAGGAGCAGACACTGATAATTCATCTGGTTCTGCCCATCACTGCTGTGTCAGGAAAGTGCAATGTTCTCCTCAAATTATGTGTCACTGGTAGCCCCGTGGAAACTTGTTAATTCTGTTTTCTCTCCAGTTATTATTCCAGTTTGGTATTAGAAGGTAAAAGAGGAGATGATAGCCTAGCTAGGCTGAGCAGCAGTGGGAAAATCTGGGAAGGACCTCATAAGAAACCAGGAAATACACCTTGAACCCATAATCTTAATGCAGATCTTTTACTCTGAGCAGGGATCAGGCAGTTTCAATGATTTGTGTAACAGCAGGGACAAAGTTGGCCTCAAAAACGCTGGAATAAACTCTTAAAGGCACCTGCAAGCTGGACAGAGTGGTAAGAAACACATTATAAAGAAAAAATGTATCTTGACTGAGGAGTGGATAAAAACACATCTCCTCCACCATTAGGATATGATTTTAAAAGTACACTTAAAGTATATTACTCCCCAGGCCTAATGTTTCCTTTACAGTTTGGGATGGTTGGTTAATCTGAACAGAGACTGATAAGGGGTGAAAACAAAATGCAAGGGAGAGAACAAAAAAACCCAAAAAAACCAAAAAAACCCCATGTATCTGCTTCCATTCCAGCTCTGTGGCTCCTGTGTGGGGTAATTTATTCACACCAGTATTTTTCTCTGAGGCCAGGCTGCTTCCCTCTGCTCAGAGAAATAAAATGAAATGAAATGAAATGAAATGAAATTAAATTAAATTAAATTAAATTAAAAATATAAAATAAAAAATATAAAATAAAAAATAAAAATATAAAAATATAAAATATAAAATATAAAATATAAAATATAAAACATAAAACAAAATAAAAATATAAAATAAAATATAAAATATTAAAATAAAATAAAATAAAATAAAATAAATAAAATAAATAAAATAAAATAAAATAAAATAAAATAAAATAAAATAAAATAAAATAAAATAAAATCGGCTGCTTGTTCTAAGAGCTAGCTAACCATGGTTCAGGACAGGCCCAGGGAGTTGAAGGAGGAGGATGGAGGAGCACAGGCTCTCAGCATCCCCTTGGCTGGGCAGGGAAGAGCAAACCCACCATGGTTGTTCCACCGACCTGCAACCTCCCTTGCAGAGCCACTTGTCATTCTGCTCTGAAACAAAACGCCCCAATGAGAGCAAAATAATCCTTTTGAAGTGGCTTGATTCCCCTTGAAGGCTTCCAGCAAGATGCAAGGCTTTCATTCTGGTTCCAGCTGTATTTTGGAGTGGAATTGTGCACTCGAATCCTTTTATTGCTGTTTTGGGGGGGTAACTCTAGCCTAGCCTGCCCTCTAGTGCTGTCTGGATCTGGCTCCAGGAGCGAAAACCATCGGAAATCCTGGAATCAGAGGGTTCAGGGTGCATGTTTGGATATATTCGGATCTTGTACCAGCAGCAGTCTGCCACACACTCCCTAATCAACGCCTTGCCACATCGTTTCATCATTTAAATACAATTTAAATGTACCTGGAATGGTACAAAGGCAGCCTGTAAATACAGGTTTGTGATCAGGAGGAACTGGCCTCTCCTTTTTTATTCAGTCACAGTTTTGCAAGCCAGCTCTATACAGAAATCACAGATTTGGCCACTGCTGGCACATCACAAACAGGTGATTTTTTCCCCCCCTACCCTTACGAAGAGGATGCCCCAAGCATTTTGTGCACATCGTACACAAAATACGACACTGCTAACAACCTCATGTATAATTCATCTGGAACACGTATGGACGTAAAGAGGATTTTGATTCACAGTATCTGGAGGTTTTGGTGCCAAGGCTGTGGGTGTAGCAGCAGAGATCTGCAGATATGGCACTAAGAAGAGTGATAATGAAAGCAGATAGCTGGAGCAGCAAATTTCTGGTGTCGAGCAGATGCAAACAAACACTCTCCTAAATTAATCAGTAAAATTTTCAGGTGGGCAGCTCAGGTGGGAAATACTCCTCTCCAAAAAAAGGCCCTGGTTTGTGAAAGCATTTACACTGAGTTGTGCACATTCTTGGTTTTATTCTTTCCTAATCTGTGGTAGAGGGAATAATTTAAATAAATAAGTTGCTGCCGATTTCTGACTGTTGGTCTTCTTAGTATAATGAAAAATGTTATTTTCAATAAACTAATGAATTCTGTGAACAGTTCAGAGGTGGTTTCCACAGTGTTTTCATTATTTTTATATAACATTGAATATAAAGACATATATATGTAGGCATCAAATTCTTTTGAAAATATAAAATGGATCCACCGCAAATAATTTGAGCTAAACCCAACCCCAATGTTTGATTTTTTTTTAAGTAGGTTTTTGGACCATCTAAAGAAGGACAGATTGTTTCCAGTTTTTGCCAGGGAAGCAAACTAGCACACGTAGTTACTCGTTCAGGGGACTCTGCCTGCTCCAGATCCTCTGCTCCTGTTTCAGGATCCAGGACAACTATTTCTCCTTCTCCACCAGCCAGACGAGTGAAACCCACACCAGAAGCCTCCATCTGACCTTGTTTTCATTGAAAAAATGAAATCATTGGGAAGGGAGACGATGGATTTCAGCCCGTCCCCGTGCCGGTGGCAGATGGTGGCCCTTGGGCAAGGACCTGAGCCAGCAGGAGCCCGCCACCCCAGGCCACCCCCAGCACCCCAGCACTGTCCCCTTGGCAGCTCCCAGCTCCCACCTGTGCAAACCAGCTCACACACACCCTAAAATGCCCTTTTTTGGGGGGCAGGAGTTTTATTTTTGCAGGCTGGTTTTGACTGGAGCGGGTTTAGGGGTGCGAGAAGGAGGGGGGAGAGCAGCCTTCACTCAGCACCGCCCAAAAAAACCAATAAATCTACCTCTGACCCCTCCACCTCAACTCTCTCCCTTGTCCAAGGGGAGAAATGATTCCTTGTAGTGTTTGTTTGTCTCCCCAGGATTGGGGAGGTGGATCTCCCTACCTGGATTGGCACGGGGATGCTCTCCTCCTACACCAGGAGCAGGGAGCTCTGTGCTGCCCCGAGTGCCAGAGCACATAGATTTGTCTTGTTTTCCACCAGCAAGCCTCCAGTAGATGGGATGTAGATTTCCCGAGTTTCCTCAGCTTGTTGCAGCTCTTCCACAGGGAACATCAATTTTCCCAGTCGCTTTTCCACGTGCGGCAGCTGGAGACTGAAGATGTACTCGGCACAATTTGGTGTTCCCACCGTGCCTGAGCAGCAAAAAGAATGGTGTTCCTCGTCATCCTCCCTGTGAAACATCTCCTCGAGTGTAAGGAGCAGCCAGAGCTTGGTCCCTTTTGGGGAAGGGTTGTACAAACACGGAGCACACATACACGCGTGAGAGCAGATTTCACTCCCTCAGAACCGGCACTCACAGCCCATTAATTCCTCTTCTTCCCTCAGGTGTTTCTCCACCCCGTGTCTTCACTTTTGTCTCCACAGAAACTCCTGTCATCCTCATTTCAAAACCTGCACACAAGTGTCAATGAGCTCCTGAGCTCTGGAGGTATCCAAGGCACTTGCAGGACACCAGCACCTTCCTAACGCTGAAAATCCCCAACAGCTGAAAATCCCAAATGGCTGGAAATCCAATCAGCTAGCAGAACAAGTTGGTTCCAGCTATCATTTACCACCAATTCTGACAAAAATAAGGCAAAAAAATCATAATTTCCCCAGCACCAACAGCAGTCATCTAAAGATCTCTATTTGGGGCATCAAAGCATTGGCAGGAGCTCCATGAGACTTTTAAAAATAGTGGGGTTTTTTTTTGGCATAGCTTTGGACAGACACAACTTCTTGTACACAGGTTTTTGAGGGCCAGCAATGTTCCCTTCCCTTTCCCTTCCCTTAAGGGCAAAATGTGGTTTTAACCTCAGTGTAAAATTTGGGAGCTGAGTCTTTAATCCTAAAACTGGTAAAAGCTTTGAAAGCACTGACAAAACTGCTGTCTTTTTCTGCCTTTTTGCAGTTCACACATCCCATGGAGGCCACTGACATGAGAGATGCTCTGGAAAATTTTCAGAGCGTGTTGCTGACTGGTTCTCTCATCCTGAAAGTGAGTAAAACACGTCTCTGTGCCTCCTTGTCACCATCCTTCTACGCCTCCTTTCCAGCAGGCATTTTCAAATCCGGCTTTCCTACTTCTCTGCCCATTTGTTTTCCTGACTCTTAGATCATTATTTGCATTCTCCTGCTTTCCTCGGGCGA